AGGGAAAACCAAGTATTCGTTTATTCTCTAACAAAGAATATTTAAATATTTACTACACTAACAATGAAGTCTTACAAAGCACATAAGTTTTGCTATAAGACTGCCCTGATCTAGTAGCTTAGAGAAAATAGAGATTAACAGTGAACAACCCGATGTAGATCACTAGGAGCACAGTTACTCAAGGCTTATTGTACACAGCAAAAAATGCAATAGAAGTTGAACTGCACATTTGCAACTTCACAGAAGGGGTTTACAATTGGTGAACCTGAGAATCTATGGACTTAGAGAGGTCCTATAAACGGTCGCCACACTACTGTTAATTAGAAGAGTAGGAACCCGAAAATGAACAATTGACATTGAACAGTGACAATGCTGAGCCCGCCTTGTCGTTTGGCGTAATAATGCTGCCAAACGTATTGTAAAAAGAATTTAGATATGTATTCTGAAAAGAAGTGCTAGGTTTCTAGCTTCAAGAGATGGCTGCTACCATTCAGTCAGTTGTGGTTGTAGAACGAACTGTAGAGGTCGACGTTGGCTTGTAACAGAGCAGCACCAGGCGCAATAGAGACGTGGATAGCGGAAAGTCGTAGAGATGTGCTGAATGTATTTCACTACATTCTGAGCATCTTTTCAAAATTGTCTAGAATTTGATTGAAAATTCACTTCCACTACTTGGTGGTTATCACCACTTGATAATTTTGAATCAAACTGTCGCTGAGCGCGAGGACTCTACCCTATGCATAGTGGTCTTTCGTTTACGCAAGTAATTGCGAGGGCCAAGGGTGGGGCAAAATTATTGGTGCACCAATATTTGTTGGCATTTCGAGACTAGCTTTCAGAAATCGATTCTAATCACGAATATTATTTGTAGAAAAGATGACAATTCAAAACATATTAACAGTTCTCAAAATGATCGCCTCTAGCCTTTACACAGTTCTTTGAGCATTTGGCATACGCATGGCATGTGGCACGCAGGTATTTTTCATCAATTTTGTCCCAGGATTCCAAAAGCGCCGTCATGAGAGGGTTCAAATTTCGGTAATTGATAGAGCAGACTTTTCCCTTTAGGGTAGCCCATACTCTTCCCCGAGAAGAGAGCCATTCGTCAAAACTGATGAAGTTGAGGGTTTGCTCGGTGCACTGTTCCTGGACCATTCTCGGTCAGTGTCCTGAAGCAAACCCTTTGGTGAATTCACCCGTAATCCTCTCCAAAGTGAAGACACGCCCATGGTTTTGAACAAATACCGAGTTTGAACGCTGTTTGAACAAAATTTGAGAATTTGAAAAATCGTCGAGAACGCTTTCGCGTAGCGCTCTGTTGTGGCCAAGGGGCGGCGGTCAACAGAATCGTCCGGGAGTGACGCCGTCGCGCGCGATCACTTGCGCGGCGTCGTAACGCGGCAGTTTTTCGATGGGCGCGGCCTTATTCGAATTTGACGATTGGAGCAATGATTCTTCATGGTTACTTCATTCACATGATTCCCAAGATTATTTCGTAGAAGCGGCACCTTTTTGTACTTAATTAGGTCTGGTTTACACCTAATTAAGGTCGCCGACCTTTACTTAGGTGCGAACCAAACCTAGTTAAGTATTAAAATGAATAGGTCGTAATGCTATGCACAATTCTGTGCCCATCGTTACATGATAGTAACGTATTATAATTTTAGTTATTAACTGCCGTCGGTATTTAGAAAAGGCGGAGAGGAGTCTCTTTGGAGTCCTTAACACATTGACGACAACGCGGGGGATATATATCCCGCGCATTGCAGGCCATGTCGGACCGTGCGGGATATATATCCCCCGCACCCATTACACTCATTTTTTTCGCGCACGCCTGATTCTTCTAGAAGTTTCTTGTATTTATTCCATGGAAGAGACCTTGACGTAGCTACAAACATAGTGGCCCTTAGAATGGTCACGTATGCTTCAATTTAGAGGAGGATTTCTGAACCATACGAAATCTTCATTTAATAAATTTTTCGTTTACTTTTTCTTTTTATTAATGTGAATTTAAATAGTAGTAGAAGTAGATAAGGAACTTTAGGGATGACAATATGTGTGTTTTGATTGGAATAATCAACGTAAAATTGCTTTTGAGGTCCATTGCAGCTAGTTCTGAAAATTTCGCTTTTTCATTGTTATTCCATGTCTTTCGATCGAAATTCCACTACTGTACCCCTGGTTAGGTTGCGCTCATTACAATTTACTGATTTGGTTATGAATTGATCATTAGTTGTGGGTTTATCACTCAAAATCTGCTTGAACGACCTGAGGCGAGCGCGCCCGCAAAATCGCCGCGGTCCCACGTGGCCAAAAAAGCCAAAACTCGCGTTGTCGTCAATGTGTTAACAAACACAAGTTAGAATGACGTTTACAGAAACTCGTCCACCGCCACCGCGCCGTCGCGGCCACGACCACTAGCGCGGGTTTCCGGACGATTCTGTTGACACACCCGTAGCCAAGTATGGGCTACCCCAGAGGGAAAAGTTGAAGGTTGATTGATGCACTTCGCAGAAGTGGAAGCCTAATCACTTTGTGATCAGAGCGTACTAGTAGCTGCGTGTTCAAGTTACATACCATGAATAAATCAGATGAGAATGTCTATAACAAGATTCAAAAAATCATTCATTGTTGATGAAGGTGCACCAGTAAATTTGCCCCATCCTGTATTTTACGATGGAAGGTTCTTTGAAACTATTTTCAAATTCACTCACTCTATATAGGAAGCTGTCAAAGGGAGGTCCCAGCATTCAAGACGCCATTTATCATATTCTCAAGAGCTTTCTTCGTTGACTTCCGCAAGCCGTCCAGATGTTGAACAGTCAAGGCCGAAGAATTCAACGCCAGGGTTGAAAGTGAGCTTCGTTATGGCGATACTTCCTAAATGACCACATTTCTCACCTTTTTATAAGACTTTGCCTCTTACGCCGTTTGATTTTAATTGAGTTATTGAAAAAAAAGTCAGAAGATAGAGAGTTCCAGTAGAAATTCGGGACAATACGTAGAATTAGCGATAATATAAGCCCAAATATATGGGCCAGTAAACAGCTGCGGGAAGCCTCACCTCTCAATTGGGATCCAACGGTTTGCAGTCGAATGATTGCTTCAATAGAGAAAGGAATCACGCCGACTTTCTGTCGCGTACCTTCCAAGAAAAAGAGGCATCGCCCTTGTAGAGACACTATCACTATTAAACTTTGAAATGAGGAAGGTGATCAGCTGGTGATTATCACTATTCAGTATTGGAAACAAAATGAGCAGTGAATGGAAACAATGAGCTGTGAGGATCTTTGAGCAATTTGCAGTCTAACAAACCTTGGCGCAAAGTAACCAGTGGAGGTTGTGTGGTTCTTATTATTATCTCCAAAGTTCTCCCTGGATATTTGGTCGCTATCTAAAGCACTGCATTAATTTCAGATCACATATCAGACGGGACTGTCATAATGTGCAGTAACAATTCACCCACCTCTTCCACTTGATCTGATAGACATACTTCGTCAAGGGTGCAGGTGGTTTTTAGCAGACTTCCGACACCGGGAGAATGAGAGTCAACGTGAAATAGAAGCGAATTTGTCCTAAACAAAGAAGGACTTTGACGTAGTGGAGAAAGTCACTTTCGTGATACAATTACTCGACTAAATGCCCCAATAACGTGAACTTAAAGGCAACGGGTTAAGTCACATTAGTGCTGAGTATATTATGTCATCAGAGGCGAAATGTGCAATGAGAAACGTTAGTGAGAAGAGAAAGGAAAAAGCACCATTAATCACTGGGATCTCTCTTCTAGAGTTGGCCGTGGTATGGCGAAGAAACAGCGCTGCGGGGAGAGGGAAAACGCGCAAAGGCACGTTGCGTGGGAGAGAGGGAAAAACGAACGGAACGGCACGTTGTGAAGCGGAGAGGGGCAGATGTTCGTTATGCGTGATTGGTATAAGGATTGGCAGAGAAGATGACGGACAAGAGGGCTCCACTAGTTTATTCACAAATTTTCATGGTTTGAGAACATTGTCACGACTAGGACACTTACAACGGGGGTTAACTTTGTGTTTTGGAAGGGTAGGCATATTTGAATTCGTGTGTGTTTGGTGATTGGTGTTATGGGAAGGGGGAAGAGGGTTGCTTTACAAATTTTTCAAACTTGAATATGATCGTGCGGAAATGACAAAATCAAACATTTGCTGGCTCATTCGCAGAGGTACGCCCCCCCCCCCCCCCCCCACCCCACCGACACCCCCTCCCAAAAAAAAAAAAAAAAAAAAAAAAAAAAAAAAAAAAAAAAAAAAAAAAAAAAAAAAAAAAAAAAAAAAAAAAAAAAAAAAAAAAAAAAAAAAAAAAAAAAAAAAAAAAAAAAAAAGGGAAAAGGGAGGGGTTGGAAAACAAGGCCGGTCAACGCGCGACTTTCGGAAATTTTCTTTCAGCATCGCCCTTCCAATCAAATTCCACGACTCTCCCCTTCCATCAGGGGTCCTTTTGTATACAGCTATTTATTCTGATGACCAAATCGACACACCAAACTCCACCACATTTTTCCCTCTAAACGGCCGCCTGAGCGTGGGGGATTACAGGTGAAACTGCAAAGTGCTTCCTGCTCTTTACAGCTACGCGCCCTAAATGTCCTAAACTCACCGTGGAATTAAGATTACATAGAATATGACCCCCCACCTAAAAACTCAACAAAATGCGATCCCCTCACCCCCATTAGTACTTGTCGCAACATAGGATTGACCCTGGTTGGAATGTATGGCGATCGTCTCAGGAAATCAGCACCAACGGGAAATACATATAACAGCCAAACAGACAGTGGAAAGTTGTTGGAGCGTGGCGCGTGCGCAGTGGATGGGAGCTGGTCTGGGTGGGGAGATTCCAGGGCTGATGGTGATGTAGGCGGTCGTATCAAGGTCTCTTTAAGAGAGGATGTGATTTCTGCGATTTTTCTTTGAGTCGCAGTTGACTGGGTCGCTGCCCTTTTCTCTTCGGATCTCTTAGAAGCTGTAATGAAAGATGAGATGTACCTGTGAGGCCTGATAGAGCATGCTGTTAACGGTATATTCAGATATGGCGATTTCGGCCATCCGACGCTGGGTATTGTGGGGCATTCGGAAGGGAAACGGCACGTGATAAGGAGACGCCTCATCTAAAAAAAGTCTATAAAATTGCTACATACACAAGCTAGACAGACATGTATGTAGAGCGAAAAAGTAGCTCACTTGTCTTCGTGCTTGTGACCTCCCCTGACATTCCGACGGTAAAATCGTGACGACTGGCGCTTGCGTCCAGTAGGGTCAAATCAATCATTATATGTCGCAAACGGTCCTGGCAAAAGCACAATCACATGACCAAAAAATGCAAAATTTTAAGATAAAAGCCATACCACATTGAAGGAGCGCGCGATATCTTGAGGAGTGATGGAAACTGGCCGACTACCTGAATTATGTCATATGAGTTTGATTTTGAGATACTTACAGAAGTGGCAAGAGCAAGTAGCAGGCAAAATTCATTGCGAAAGCCGTGCGCAAGGATTGAGTGAACGACTTGTATCCAAAAAATGAGGGATTAGGCTTAGTTTAAATATTTCCGTGATTTTTTCATTAATTAGATTGCAACTCGGTGATCATTTATCACTTACTGACGAAGTTACAGAGGTTGAGGTATTCCGTAGTGTTCATCTCGCGGTCTAAATATACCGCCCAAAATGAGGGATTGAATGACTTCGGGTCGAATTTTCCTATTAAATACGTGCGTTTCGACAATCGAGGCAGCTTTTTATTATAAATTTTATAATTATTTTTTGCTTTTGCACCGTTTGTTCATATGAGATCACCTGGCAAAAAGGGATTCATTTACTGCACTTAAAGGACGAATTCACGCTGGAAAGGCAACCCATTTCAAATTAACTTAGCGATGGTGAGTGGTACACTAAAGAAGGAAAAACCATGAGAAACGGCCCAGAACCTGAGAAATGGGACCCCTTCCTTGCCCGTTGATTTGAGCATTGATGCGACTATCATCGCTGTGCCCTCTTCAACGCTACGCTCTCTCACCTATCTAATCACTCACCACGTATAGACCTGCGGCGAGTGATCAGATGATCGGTGGGCGTTGGCGATGATACTGAGTCCACGCGCAAGAGTTGAGCCATGATAGATCGTGCGGAGTTGTGAACTCGTTCGGGTGCCAATCGCGCTTCAGTCCGCACCCTTAGAGGGTCCGCGGGTCCCCCAACTAGATGAATTTCTCCTTCTCCGACCGTCATACTAATCGTGAATTCGTCCTTTAATGACCGACTTGAAGGACCTAAAATCAACGATTCCTTCTTGATGAGTGCAACACCAAATAGCCTCCGTGGCTACTGCTTCCGTTGCAAGGTGCTTATATAGGCTTCTTGGTGTAGATTTAACTGGCGTTTTATTATAACGAAGATTGTCCATGAGATATTCTACAAAATTACGCACAACTTTAGAACAGTTATTCAAATCATCTCGGGTGGGAAGTTTAAGTGCTGGTGTGAGTGATTACGATGAGGTACAGTTGCTTCTTTTGTACGAGTACTAGTGTGTAGCGACTAAGGAGAGAGATGAGGTTAGTTCTCTCTTTAGTCGACTCACTACGTATCGCTAAACAAGATGTGTTTTTGCAAGGCTCTAGTATCATTTGGAGTCTAATTATGCAGGGTCATGGAAGCGAAAATTCCGGACGCACGTCTTACAGATAAAGCACCGGTTTCTGTATATCATTCATGAAATATGCAGCGCAGAGGTGAATCAGCCTTCGCTAGCGAGGGCAGTGTTTATTTCACAGGCAGTTTGCTTGCTTAGAAAGGCCTTAGTCTAAAAAATACAACAATTCCCGAAATATCTTGCTGTGTGTGCTGATGGTGAGGCAGGGCTCAACTTTGTTCAAATGTCTCTTATGTGAAAACTTTAACGGTGTGAAGTGTTTGTGCCTCCTTGTAATGTCATATGCGTGGTCAAACTTCTTTATTCTCTTTCTGACATTGTTGCTGCTTCGCCGCTCTCACGAGCGATCCACTTCAAGAAATGGGTCAAGGGAAGCCATAGGCCCCTTAGATTATTTAGGTGGGGAAACTGGGTCCGAGTTTTGGAATTGTAGAATGTCTGGAGGTTATGGAAGCTTTCGGTTATCTTAATGGAATAGATGCAGGAGGATTATTCGAACTGGCTTTGCAAAGACTCTGGAATATGAAGAGAGGGTGAAAAAGCAGGAAATAAGGGGCACATTAAGGGACAAAAAAGTTAGAAGAAAAGCTGTTTCCGCTAAAATTGCGATACGGAGATTATATAACAAATAGTAAGGAGTTGGCTGGTGATACTTGAAATATTCCCGGTCTGCTGCTTTTCCGGAAATGCAAAAGTTTAGGGTGACTTTATAATTATGAAACGCACTGCATATTCAGAAAAGTCTGACCAATAATTTGAAATTCCTGAAACAACCCTTTGATCAAGAAAATGATGAAAAAGTTTCAAATGAAAAACAAAATTTTGTCAATTCGATTATTCCATCAAAAATATAATTTTTGTGAGGGATACATGATGAACTCCTTTCTCAATTTGATTGTCTATTACCCTTTCAGAAAAAGACATTGCGAGAACGATATGGGTTCATCATCTTCAGGTTTCTTTAAAGGAGGAATTCACGATTAGAATGAAGGTCGAAGAAAGGGAAACTGACCTAGTTGAGGGACCCACGGACCTCCTGAGGGTGCGAACTGACGCGCAATTCGCATGAAAAATTTGACCTCGGCGACCTATCATGCCTCAAAGCTGGCGGGTCCGGCGATCTCCGCCCACCGATCATCTGATCACTCGCCGTAGTTCAATACGTGGCGAGTGATTAGATAGCTGAGAGAGCGTAGTGTTGAAGAGGGCACAGCGATGAGAGTCGCATCAATGCTCAAATCAACGGGCAAGGAAGGGGTCCCATTTCTCGGGTTCTGGGCCGTTTCTCATGGTTCTTCCTTCTTTCGTGTACCACTCACCATCCCTAGGTTAATTTGAAATGGGTTGCTTTTTCATCGTGAATTCGTCCTTTAAGATTTTCATGCAGAACATGGCTTTCGGAAGGCTGTTTGTAAACGGCTGTCAGCGCGCTCAACTGAGAAAAGCTGGATTGAAGCTTTCTAAGCTTGAGCGGTGGCGCTTCACCTTCACCGAAACCTGCAAATCAGGCCGTGAAGCTGTAAGCTGGTGATGATCAGTGTAAAGCATCACTACTTTACACTGACCATCACTAGCATAGTGCTTATGTCACAAAACAAACTTGTTAGCCTTTCCTGTATAGAATAGCAGGTTTGCGCATATTGCAAAGGGATTAATGTTGAGGTGTGGCCAAAGAGACACTTCACTTCACGTAAAAACGGCATTAATCACGTTTTGCTAAATTCAAACCGAATGCTCCAACTGAAAATTGAAGAGCACATTCCAATCTATCAAAAAACGTCATAATAGCCTTCTACACCAACGACATCAGAAGAATTTGTATGGGAACATTGTGCACGGTTCGAGCTCAACGTGGTCTTGACGGATCGGGGACCACTTACGCGTTATCTGAAATTCTGGTCAGAAGGTATTTTGCATAGTTACCGCTACTGCTCTAGAAAACTATCATCACTTAACCGATTGAAGAAATTTTGTAGCTGCTTCAGACTGAAGCAATAACGGAAGACCTCTTTGAGCTCGACGGCGATTGCAGATGACGTCATATTCTGAAGAAGAGGAGGGCAGCGAATAGGAGCTTACGTAGAGCATGGAGGGACATTCAAGAAGTATTTTGAAGAATTCCATCGACGGCAACCTGTACTAGTTCAAAGTATTTTTTGGTCACCCCTGTAGAAGCTAATGGGCTTGTTAGGTAGAAAAAGCAACATTTCGCATGGGAGCTTGATCCATCAATTACACCTCAAAAAAGGGAAGCAGGCGGATGGTGCTTACTGAGATGTCTACCTAAAAACAAGCAAGCCCTCGTCGAGTTTCTCCGTAAGCATCGGAATATGGAGCCGACTGTATTCGCAGACGCACTCAAGAGGGGCGTACCAAGCATTGTATTCGCGTGGCAGAAACTTCGGAATTATCCTGCTAGAATTTAACAAAGATCAGCTTCAGTGTTCAAAGTGGAGAATGGAAGTTTCGCCTATTTAGACACCCCCTGTGCAATGTG